GAAAGCACGCAGGATCACTCTCGAGGAGAAAAGACAATGTAGAAAGAATCGTGTCTTGCAGAATACACCATCTAAGGAGTCTTTCTGCTGTGCCTTTTGTAATCGGACTTGTCTATCTCGTATTGGCCTTATTAGCCACCAGCGTGCCTGTAACAAATGTGGATAGAGCCTTTCCCAAATCTTCGTTCGTGAAGCCAAGCCATGATGAGTGCCTTGTTTGCAGGTCATGCCTGGAACAGAGGAACTGCCATCATCCCTGTCTTCTGCTCAAAGCACAGCGAAGGATTCACCTCAATCAACACAAGATTTCTGTGTCAGGGCACGGACTGGATCCAGTTCCTTACTTGGGACCAGGTTTTTCTTCCTTATCAGTCCCTCTATTTTGAGCAGATAGTTTTGATCCTGCAGTTTCTTTACATATGGTGTGGTACCATTCATGGACTCATCTGAATGTGGTTATGTCCATGCTCTCAAGTTCACTGATAGACACCAGGCATGTCACTTTATAAGGTCTGCCCACAATTATATGATGATTACTATAAGAATAAAGAGGTCAGGTATAGAATTGGCATGGACACAGTAAAATTGAGGTTCCAGTTTCATGTGACATAGACAGAAGCATAAGGTCCTGCTTCCCTCTGAGTCCATTTAGTTCACTAATACAGAACAAAACTGTCCCAGAAGTACAGTGGAGTAGAAAATCAGGAGGAATAAAGGAGGAAACAGAGAGAGTGACTTTTTGCTTTAGGCAGTAACAAAACTACAGATCAGCCACCCAAGAATACACAGCCTTGGTTTACAAGAATGTACTAGGTCGAAAGAAATGGAAGTGTTTCCATACCAATGATGTGCAGAAGAGCAATCCAGAGCTAGAGGAAATGAGCTTTGCAGAGAGGTGCAATACCTGTGCAGGCTCTCAAGTTGTGCAGAGACTGCATTAGAAAGGAATGCAGGTGTGAACAGCTGAACTGCTCCCTAAGTCACTGTAATTCCATACAATCTGTTACTGACACAAAACAAACAATCCCCCCAAAACCCACCCCACTCCATCATACTTTGAGAAAAAAAGACATTTCTCACGTTGTTGTCATTCACACAATACATCAGCAAGAAACAAAGTCCACAATACAGAGCACTGTATTTTTATATATCTGGATCCCTATAGGAAAGGAGTATGATAATATTGGGTCTTCCTCTTTGTTTCTTCTCAGTACATTTCCAATAAAACTCCTTCAGTTTCTGAGCCTCACAATTTTTCCTTCCAATTGTTGTCTCTGCCAACTCGAACTTGACAGTGGAGAAGGGTAACAGGAAGGTCACATTTGAAGCATGATCTGTTGAATTTCTGCTTTTCCAACATGCTTATTTGCTCTCACGTATGATTTTTCTGTATATCCCCATTCACACTTCAACTCTAAGAAGCCTGTGCTAGCAGAGCTTTTAGATTTTTCAGGCCTTTTGCAGAACTGCAGCTTCCCTAACATAGGTTAATATTGCACAGGCTTGCACCAGACAGAGGTGAAAGCAGTTCAGGACCAGAGAGTGCCTCCTCTTGAGATTCAACTGAACTACAGATGAACTGAAGCACCTTCTTAAGGCATAGGAAGAGCCCAGCTCATACCAAAACCTCCAGAAGGAGAGGTCCCAATATCTCATTACCCAGCCAGCTGGGACACGCATAAGGAAAGGATCTATGGCTCAGACCCAAACCCCAGATCTGGCTCTTCCCAGGTACAGCACAGACACGTAAGCAAAGTGCCCGGGCACAAGCCCCAGCTCTGGCACACAGTATGCTGACAACAAGGTCCCCAGCATGACCTGAGCCAGGGCAACCAGTGCTCATCCAAGCAAGGGCTGGGCAAGCCTGAGGGTCAGCAGAGGCCAGCAATTCCCCATGTGGCAGGCAAGCAGCTGGACACTCGCCAAGCAAGCCTGTTGGTGAGGGTGCCTAAAAAGAATCCCTGCCCTTTATTGGGCAGTGATTTGTCTGCACAGACATAGCCACCGAGCCCAAAATATAAATAGTTGTATCTAGCAATGGGGAATGGAAACTGTCCTGGTCATTGGTTTTGATGTATTTATGGTTGTTTTTAACGTAAATCTAAGTTTTCAGTGCTAACGGTCCGAGCCTGCTGAGGATTCTGCCCTTCCGCCACCATATTTTTGGCAAAACTCAGAAACAAATACATCCACATCTCCTACCTCTTTGGTTCCAGTATTCTAAAGGGATGAGAGGGATCATGAATTCGACGGAAATCTGTAGCTCTTGCTATTCACACTTCAGATGGCAATTGTAACTGTCCATATCTGAGCAGCATTCAGATGCTAATGGAGCTGCTCCTGTGTCAGTAAAATCAGAGAAAGGCCTCCACTGTTTGATTTATAGCCAATAAATATCCAAAAATTAAAGGGCCAACACATATTGAGATACCAGGAAAAATGTCTTTTTTTGCCCGTGTTAACAGCAATGTTCTAAGATAAAGCTGCTATTTTAAAATATGACTTATTTTCACTTTGCACTAGTGTTTTTAACTGTCCTGAAAAGAAGGATGTTTATACAATTTTGCAAAGAAACATGAACTGTTCTACTCCATTTACATCTCTTTGTTCCAAAATGTATTCCTCTTGTTGAGATTCCAGCAGACAAGGAAAGCAGACACAGCGGTTACTTTCCAACGTGAAACTTAAAACCACAATCTCCTGCTCAGAAAACACAGAATGAGTCACAGGAAGGGGCCACTTGCTTGCAAAACTCATTAAAAGCAAGGCAAGGCAAAATGGATTTCCTGTATCAATAAATAGATTGCTGGCAGTAGGCAGAACACCTGACAGTGCTGGAGGCTAAAAACCAGTCCAAGGGTAACCATCAGTAAAGCCAGATCAATTCTTCAGCTCAGAAACTGTATCTTCCCAGCACACAGTTTTCTTGGAATTACTTAGCTTAATCCAGCAAAGTGCTTAAGAACATGCCTAAGTTTCAGCTCAGGGAGGGATGAGTTAAACACTTGCTTAAATAGGGTGAAAAATGATGATGTCTGTATTTATTCACTGAAGCAAGCCATATTAAAAGGATGCACGCATGGTACCACAGAGGTGTACATACTGCAGGTGAAAACTTTGTTTCCCGAGTTCATGAAATAATAAAGAAGCCCTAGTCCTTACATAAGCTTAAAATTTAGCTGTAACTGCAACTTTGTTTTGCTCTTAGCAGTGTCCCTTGGACACCTGAGTATAGATTTCCTTTTGTTCAATGTTATTCCCTTCTGGAAAATGAAGCCAAAATGGCTTTCTCACCTTTTCTGTGCAGCACAGACACGTGGGATTTCAGGCAGTGTTGCTTAAGGGGCAAAAGGCAGAGCTCAGCACCTGACCCAGTACCACCCAGGGTCAGCACAAGGGTAGGAACAAGAAGGTGCTTTTTACCCATTTTTTCTGGTTTTGTTCCCTTTTTCAAGTTCCTCCTAGAAGAAAACTAATTTCTCATTTTACCTTTACTTTTCTCCCTCACAACCCAATGACTGAAAGGTCTTAATGAAGATCTCTTCCCAAAGCATCCAGCAGCTGTAATTCCTCAGCACCACTGCTGGGTGCTCCTAAGAGCCAGTCTCTTGCCTCTGATCTACAACCAACTCTTTCATTGCATATCTCCAACATGCTACAGAAGAGAATATTTTACTGCAAGCAAAAGAGTGGGGGCTATCTAAGGTTGTGGCACTGTGAGTATATTCCATTCACCACCATTCTTTGCTGGACTTCTATGAAAAGAATAAACCCACAAAACAAAACAAAGAAAAACATACTAAGAACAACCCTCAGACTTCACTTTTTATGCCTTCATGGAAGAGCTGAAGGTTATAATAATAATTTTAGGCACTATCTCAGCACAAGCCATGTTCTGCATGCCTCTTGCAATGAACTACCCTGAGGTACTTGATAGTATATGCAATGCATATTGAATTGAGACTATTTACTTATAAGGACAAACACGTAGTATTCTGGAAATATTCCCTTCATTACTCACAGCGTCAAAGAAACTCTTAACAACTCCATACTCTTCCATCCTCAGGAGCTTCCTCCCTCAGACTGTTGTATCTCTAGTGTTAATGGGATATTCCAGGAGCAATGAGTATGTCCTTATAAAGTTTTGTTTGCTGATGCAAAAGCACCATTTCTCTGACTTTGGATTAAAAGGGCACCTTCATTTCAAAGTCTGTCTCCAGAGCTCCAGGGTAAATGTTTATACAAGCAAGAGACACACGGAAAATAGAGAAGACTGAAGAAGCAGTGACTGCAGGCTGCCCAAATACGGCTGCTTTTGTATTTTTAACAGAGAACTTGAGATGTCGCAGAGCCTTATCAACCCCAAACATCTTTGTTTTCATACCAGCACACACAAGCCTGGTAGCATCATTACACTGCAGTCAGTTTGCTCAGCAAACCTGGCAGTGGGAGAAAAAGGCAGCTCAGTGTTCTCAGGGACAGGAGATAAAAAAAGGGTATTGGTTTCTCCACAGCAGAATGGCCAATGTCAAAGAAGAGGAGAAAGAAAAAAAGACACAAAAAAATAGACTATCTGGTCTCACTGCCATGAGTGACAACATCTCCATTCAAAACAGATGGCTAGTTTTTGCTTAGGTCACACTAGGAATTACACAAAACGAAGATTCAAAAAAATTCTGGGGTGGGTTGGATTCCCAGCAGCTCCAATTTGCTCTAGTTCCTGTCTGGTTGCTTTTGGCTTCAAAGTGCTGCTCCCATATCCCAAAACAGCCAGACCAGACCCTGGTCCCATCTCTCTCAGCAAACTCTTTGCATCTGAAAAGGCTCTGGGTAAAACATTGTAGCCAAACTGCAAAAATAGTGCAAGTTACACTGGATATCCCCAATAAGAAACAGGTAACAGAGACTGGAGCTACAAAAGTCACACTTTACAGGTTTCAGTAGTTCTTCAGAAGCACTCTGCCATTGTCAAAGGATACAGAAAAATAGAAAAGTCAGGAAAAAATTTATATTTGCCTTTATTACAATATATATTTCTACCCTTGTTGCATTCAGATCAAAATGAAGTGTTAAAATTATTTTCATCATTGCAGTAGCACATACATATACAGAGTAAATACTGTATATAAATAGGTTTTGAAATAATAATAATAATCCATATCTATAAATAAAAATACCCAATACCCTCTTTCTCCTCCCTCCCCAAATTACAGCAGTAACATTTTATCTTCAACGTAACTAATGCCACAAGTATGGTATTCTTTTCCTCTCATGACCCAGTTGGAGTGGTGTGGCCATCCGCTTGAAGAAAATAAACTGCTGCATATACTAGTTTCTGTGTATTGTATGAACTGAATATAGTGTGATTTAATGTCTCTGCATACTTATGTTAGCATATTCTTTCTGTAACAAAACCCAGCATTACACTGCAAACAAGGTTGGTATTTTTTCTTTCACAGAAAGAGTAGGAATTCGTTAAACGATCCCTTTTTCTTCTATATGAATTAACAAAGCAGTTTAAATATTATGCTAAAATTAATCAGCTACCAAATCAAAATGTCTTATACTTTCTGGAAAAGTATGGTGATGTTTCTAGCAGGTCAAACCCTTGATTTTCATGTGTGTCTTTTTTGTGAGCAAATTTGATAAACATTTTACAAACACACATTCCTGACACTGTTCAGCTATATCTCAACTTTCAGATACACAGGGGTACAAGCATGTCAGTGGTAAGGCGTTTAATGTCACAGAATCGCAGAAATGTTGGTCAGAAGAGACCCCTGGAGGTCATGCAGTCCAACTTCATCCTTGAAGCAGATGATTGCCAGCACTGGATCAAGTCAGCCATAACCCTGTTTAACCAAGTCTTGAAAAGCTCTGGGACAGATTCTGCAGCATCTCAGGGTTACCTGTACCAGAACTTCACCACGGCTACAGTCTGACAGAATTAAAACAGACCCTTAGTCACACTATTATTTGGGTTGAAATACAAATGGCGACAAACAACCTTGGATTACCTATTTATTAATTTATAAATAAACACATCACATCGTTTAATTGTGGAGAATTTTCAGGGAGCATATTTTCTGTTGGGAGTTGCTTGTGTAATATCTTAGGAAAATAGATCTTTACTATTGTTAAGGATAAATGCAACAAAACTGACAGCCTCTAATTGAAGAGAAGGGTTAGTTAGGTTTATTTTACATAATAAATGGATTGAAATAGGCCTTTACCAAAACTGAATTTCAATAGGATGCAGCTAGGACATTTATCCATTTATTCAATCATTAATTATAAATATTATTAGATGATTAAAGGAACGTGTGGCTATATTTAGAGACGCAACTATCTCAGTTTGGCAACCTGCAATCCCCACTGACTGTCTTTCAGAAAATCCACCACACATTTCTTCCATCTTTAAGTAAAAAGGTATTTGCATTTTCTTCAAACTTCCAAGAGAGAACAATCAATCTGCATTTGTTCCTCATTGTGTCTAATCCTGGTATCTCCAAAGTGGACATGCATCTTGCCTGAAGCAGAAGCGTTCATGTGAAAGGAAGACCTAGGGAGTGCTCACCACTGCACACTGCAGCTGTGTAAAGGATTGCGCTTATATTCGTTACTACTGAAGGCACAGAGAAAAATCATAAATTGGCCCACTGACATCCCAGATAAAGTCTGCAGTACTAAAAATTAGAAAACCCCTCAAACAGAGTTACCATCCCATCTACGTTGCCATCACTCTTGACATGCAAAATCAGAATCTGTTGTAACAGAAGAAATGTGATACAGAGCAGCCATTCCCAAACTTCTGGGTGATAACAACCATAATCATATCTTAAAATTTCTCCTGGACCACTCTGCCTTCCTGTTATTAAACTCTTAACTGAAAAAACTACAAAGCAGCTGCAAAACGTACCACAGCCTCAGAGATCACAAGCTGGCAGAGATCACAGCTTGTGAACCATGGGTTCAGCCATACTGAAATACAATATACATAGAATCCCATGCTGCCATTTTCAGTGTTTCAGAACAATTAGACTTTTCACTATATTTTAGAAGTAAAAAAAAAAGTTACTTTCCTAACTACAAGCACATTTGAGAATCATTTGGCATGTGGGCACTTGAAGTCCACATTTGAACTACCACATTGTGTAAAGGCAGACCATTTGGAAAACATCATCAACTGATCTGCAGTATTGCTTTTAGCATGCATATTTAAGTCTTAAGGCTGTCAAAAGTAGGTAGCAAAAAAAAGTAACTACAGCTTGTGTCCGGATAAATAAGGAAAAAAAACATGAAAGAGGAGAGTTCATTACCTTAAAAGAGAGTAAATTGCACTATAAGTATCCATTCTTTACACTACAAGACAAAGCAAAAAAATCCATACAGTAAAAACCTGAGATGCATCGTTCACCGGCATCAAAATTCACATTTTAGTAAAAGTAATGTTTCAAATAAAACTATTCCATTTTGACAAAATCCTCAGTGTTCTTGGCTCAGTAACAATCTTGAACCTCAGCACATTGTGTGGGTAAAATGCCTTTACTGAAAATCACCCACTTCAATAATGTGAGCATCACGCATAGTATAGCCTGTATCTTCCACTTGCCCACTTACCTTGATCCAAATAGCTACTCTTGAAGCATGATACTTCTCAAATTGAAAAAGACTGGAAGAATCTGGCCATCCTATTTCATTTACCTTCTATTTAGACTACACATAATTTATTTCCTCAGAAATATCCCATGTCAAAACAGGCTGGAATAAATCAACACGGCTCAAACGGCTTTGACAGCTATAGTGATGTATATCAGTGAGGATCTAGACCAGTAATTAACTCTTAAACAAACAATTGTTGGTCAAGCAAGGGGAAACGGGAAGAATCATTTGCTCCTTCAGAAAGAAAAATTTTGATGTATGGATTGCAATCCCTGTCCGTGTCACCAGACGATGTCAGGAACGGTGAGCACCTTCAGCTCCCTTACTGGCAAGCGGTTCTGACGAGATGAAAGATGGCTTCAGTGATGCAGAACAGACATGGAACCACCTTACAACCTTATGGCACGTTTAACTGCAACTCCAACATCAGTTCACTTTTATTTGACCTTACGCAATGAAAGTGCACGGCACAATTTGAGGAGCCAGGTGAAGACCTAGAAATGCAACTCCTATTCCCAGCAAGACTCCTCTTGTCTGGAAACGTGACTAAATATGAAAAAGCATTTCTAAGTGTGCTCACAGCAAAAGAATACAGTGCTCACATCATCACAGATTCCAGGTGAACTGTCAACAGCAAAAGCCACCTGCTGTCCTGTCAATACAAGCCAACTCATTCTTTGAGCAGAGGCCAACGGCTTGGAGATGCAGTTAAGACGAGGTTGGATGTACATCCTGAGTTTCAAACGGCGGCAGAGGTTCTCTCCAGTAGGTGAACTGACTGTAGGTGTCAGAACAAGGAAAGTCTGAAGAATGGCTTCTTTTTAGCAAAGGGAAAATGTGATCTACCACTTCAAAGAGTCTGACATAGCTGGAAAAACAAACAAACAAAAAGAATGCCGACCCATTTCAGATCATCTTATTTTGAACTTTTTTAAGTCCCCAACCAGTAAGGTATGACTACTACCAACAGACAAGGTGGACAAGTCACCCTCCTCAAAGGAATAAAACTAAACTCAATTTTGGTGAATAGCTTCCAGAAAGGATTCACAGCTCAGATAAGAAATTCATTCTAATCCATTAATTCTAACAAATTATACTTACCTAGTAAGAAACAGATGCCATTTTACACACAGATTATCTGATCAAATACTCAAGCACCACATTCTGCATCTCCATTTCTGTCCAGCTTCGCTCAAGCAGCTCCCTGCTCAACTGATTATTCCTATTTTATACCCATATGGCTCCCCTTCAGTTAAGGACACTCTTGACATTACTAAACACCATTTCCAGTGGTAGGTGCTACCAGGGCCTAAGCATCTTGCTGGAAGCACTCGGCCCTCTCTTCAGATTTTGTTTTCTGGCTCTTCTAGATAGGAGCTCCAGAAAAAGGAAATTTGAAAAGGCCATGAAAAGACAGATGGCTTCAGCAAACTAGTGAGTCTCATTTTTATGCAGACTAAATCATACACTTAAAATTCTTTTACATGATTAAAGTAGATGGGATATATTATATTATATACAGAAAAAAAATCCTTTTGTCAGCTTAACTGAAGGAAAGTGGAAAGTCTGTATTTTATTCCAAATTTTTTATGTTTTCTTTGAAGTATTCTAAGGAATCTTTCATTACTAAAATTGAATGGATCTTTGGGCAACCTGAGTCTCAAATTAGCACAGCAAATTAATTTAGTCCATAAGATGTTAGGGATAAGATATAACTTACGATGAGATGTTTGTCTTTGCATGCTCCTGTATAAGTTCTCCTTTGGGGTTAACTGTAAATATCCTGTTTAAAGAAACCCCCACCTGCTTGTATGAATAAACATCCTAAAAAGAAAAGAAAAAAAGAGAAATCATGATTCTACCTTTGCACTATAATGTTTATTCTTGATGGAATATATTACACAGAAGAACATATTCACACAGTATTGGTACTAAATTTACTTAGTTCTTGTTTACCTGAAATTCTCCATTATGTTACAAATGAGGTAAATCTAACTCACGATTTGCTGCTAGGTAAAGAGTTTGCCACTTCAGTTTAAACTATTGATCTGTTTAAACTATTAATCAAAATCATGGTCAATTTTTTCAATAACTTTCCTTTGACATAACATTCAATAAAAAACTAGTGATATTTGGTGTAAAAGCACCTTCTTTTTTTTTCTCAGAGAGTATTTAATTTCCTGAGTGCATTGTTCTGTCTATCTAGTGTACAGAGGTTAAAACATAACTCACACATAAAAGAGGAATTGTTTTTTAAGGACAAGGTCACAAAAGGAAGTCATAGTAAATGTGTCTACATTAAAACCTCTGGAAATATCTCTTAGCTCCTGAGTTCAGATTTGTGCCATGCTCCATGTCAGAGCAAGAGGAAAAGAAGGGAAAGTAAGAAATATATGCCAAAATAGCAGCAGTGAACTCCAGCAGGCAACGGAGATACAACTATGGGAAGTACAATTAGAAGTAAGAATTAAGAATGTCTTCTAAGAAGTTCAGATTGCTAAGGAAAGCAATAAATAGGTTTTGATCTGTTCTGAAGAAAAGTTTGACAAAACCAAAGATGAAAATATCTCCCAGAAGATCAGAGTAAAAATAATCTTCCATTTTGCTAATATAAATCATGGTTTTAAAAGCCAAGGTGGTGAAAAAAACTGAAATGTTAATGAAGATACAGAGATTATTTTTATATCTACATCGTAAAGACTGTTCCAAAAAAATTAACTGAACAAAAGTGAACAGCAGTCACTTCAAGAATTCAAGCAATCTGGCAGTTCATGCACTGTCTACACCTGTAAGACCTGTGAGCACAAAAATTTCCCAGTTTGTTCTTGGAAAAACAAAACAAAACAAAAAGCAAACCCAAAACAAGTAGAGTAGAAAATTGAGAAAGCTACGATCCTGATTTTCACAAAGCCAGTGGCACATGACATACCTGAACCCTGTACACTGGTAGCAATCAGAGAAGTGAATTATCAGCAATTACTTCAGAAACATTAACTTAGTGTTTTACTTGAAATTTTATTCAAATATGAATGAAAATAATTATTCTATTTTATTTCCCTGAGGTTCAAAAAAATGGAACTGGAAATAGATTCATCCATAATACAAAATCATAAAAGTTTTTAAAAACTTATTTCAGAATCATATGTTTAAAGGTATCTTGATAACAGAAGTTAAGCTGTGTATGATATAACAATTTAATATAGCAATTGGACAGTAAGGACCTCCTGTCACCTCTGACATAATGCTTTTAAAGAAGGGATAAAGACTTGCCACGGTCCCCACTTCTGTCCTGGCTCCTGAGACTGTTTCCTTTTCTAGATGCATAAAATTATTCTTTGGCCTAGGGCAGGAGTGAGAGCCATCTATGGCCCAAGGATACAGTCTCCAAACAGGTGACAGAGACCTATCTTCCTCTCTCCATGTCAAACTTATCACTTTCCATACAAAGTAGAAACTTTTGACTTCAATGAGACATCCAAGGTCTTTTGAGTGTACTCAGAGTCTGAAGTCTAAGTCCCACCAATATTAATCTGAAATATTTTCTATCTGTCCACAGGTATCTCACTGACACTGTAGTTGTGTGCATTAAAAGCAGATCAGTGTTTCACCACAAGATTAACTGCCAATTTATGCAGATCTAACATAGTTACTTTGCTGTTCTTCCATTTCTGCATCCTACATTGTAGTATTTTTGAAGAACCTTTATATTTTCCTTAGTACGGGGCCTAAGAAAATATTCTTAACTCTCATTTACAGCTTCTAGGCTCTAATGCAACAGAACCATGAAATAACAGCAACCTTTCTGTTCTCTGTAATAGAAATAAATTCAGCTATTACTTACAGCAGGTCTGTTTCCAAAAGCAGCATAAAAGGGTTCTGTGTTAGGATAAAACAAATTTTTGATGTCTGTCAAACACTGAACTTTAAATTTTTCTGGCTTCTTTTCTATGACCTCCCTGAAATTATAAAAAAAGGAAGCTGAATAAGTACACATGAAATACAGAACAAAACATTTTATTTTCTTTATTCAACATTTTTGCCTAGCTGGATACTGATACAGAGCACCCACTCTTCTCTTACTTCTTTTGGAAGTCAGAGTGCTCATGAACACAGAAACCAAGCATTCCAAAGCTTACATAATGGGCACAGTAAATAAATCCTAGGGAACTTCTATTGAAACCTACATTGCAAAGATGGTTACTGAGCAAGGATGGTGGATTACAAGGAGTAGTTAAATCAAGCCCTCTGAGGCATAAACTGTCATAAAAAAAAATGCCTCCTGTGAACTGCAGAATGATTCAGAGATTACATTAGCCCTCACTGTGTATAGTGCCTTTTTTAAAATTTTATTTTTAAAAGGACTGCAATCACCATATGTGCTAGAAGCAACTCAGCCTGTTAAGATACTTCTACAGTCAGGGTCCTCCATCAGGGTTAATTAACAAAAGTTAAGGAATAAAGGAATCTTCTATTTCTCTTCAGTTCTCCTTACAGAATATAAAATTCATTAATGAACAGAGCAGTTATCTCATCCCTGGGCAAAAGCCCTTTCACAACAGCTTCTCTTGGCAAGAACACTGAGCAGGTGGCAGAGTCTGGAGTTCCCATAACATAGGAAGATGCCAGCATGACACAAAAGTGCCTTAAGAAGCTCAGAATCCCAGATCCTAGCACCAACACATATGTCAAGGAAGATGTGAATAGGACAGAAAGTTCATAGGAGTAAAACAGCCCTTTGGAACAGGAGATCCGTGTAAAGTTTGAGAATGTGCAATAGACAAATAAAACTATCTTTCGTTGCATACACCTGATCTCAAACCTAGAATAATTAAATCTATGGATAGCAACGCAGTAATTTATTGCCCACACACCACAGCAGTTACAACAGTGTACACTGAAAGATGGGCATTCTTTAGTCTAAACAAGATACCAAAAATAGTATCACTTTAAATGTATTTCTAGATATGAGGAGCATAAGATAACAGTAACTACCTTTTCACTGCATTTATTGTTTAATCAGTCTGAGAAGTGCACAGTAATACCTCCACAGTTTCTTATATTTAGAAGGTGACTGGTAAGATTGCCTGTAGCATGTCACTCAATCAGGAGAACATCTGAACAACCTTCCATTAAAAATTCTAATGAGATATATCCTGTCACAGCAGTTTTTAACTTAGTTTAAAATATTTTCATTAATCACTTGACATGCTTCACTGAATTAGGAAGAAGGTATGATATTCATAATCTGTGCTATTCTTATTCACTTATTGCAATTCAACACCTAGAAAAGCTAACACTGTCCACACAGAATTCCACAGTGCAGTCAGGTACGTAAAAAGTTCATTTCATTTTCACATGAATTTCTTCAAAACCCAATAAGAAATAATCTCACACAAAAATATATTTATGTCAATTGGAACACCTTACAGATCAAGACAAGAAGGATTGCTATTAAAACGTCCACATTTCTCCTATAGCTAAATACACACCATATTAAACACCCCCTATGAGGTTGTGAGCTATGCTGGTGAAGGTACATGCCTTCGGCAGGGTCTCCCATGCCAGAAAGGTCAAAACTGAAGGGTCAGTTAAAATGTCTTCATGGGCAGGATGGGTTCACTAGTCTCCTGGCAGTCATCCCAGGAGAAGGACAATTTTAATTCCAAACCCAGGCAGATGGAGCTGGCTTAGCCCTGTAAGGCCATTCATCTAAGAGGATACTCTAATTAAACCTACATCCTGAGGACCTCGCTGCCACCATCCAAGCTCGCTCAGCCCTGGCAGATGAACCTTAGGATTAAAGGGTGGGTCCAGTTCTGCGCATGCTGCGTCTCACCTAAAAAATCTACTGCACAGACCTGAAGGTTATACCCACGTTTGTAAAGCCCTGTAGCAACAGGTGAGGGTCGAAACGGCAGGTGAAAGGTGCATTGGAAGCCGCAGACCCAACCCTGCATGCAGGCGGTTCAGGACATTGGTCGAGTGACCCCAGAGATGACAGTCTCTTTTGGCAGCATCCTGAATGACCAAGCAGCCTTTTTCAAGGAGAGCACTGCTTGCTCCACACAGAGAGGGGCCCAGGAAAGGTGGCCTAACCAAAGCTCATCTCCACCCTTCACCTGGTTGGTTAACCGCAGCCAACAGGCATCTTCTAATTGTGGTCAAACAAAGATGTTTGCCTTCAAAGGTGTACCCAAACTGACACTCGCATTCTGGAACATCAGAGCCATGTTTGATACTGCGGATAGTGGATGTCCTGAGCATCATTCTGCCCTAATTGCCCACAAACTGTCACGTGTACAAGTAGTGAGGCCATGTTGCTGAGAACACAGCTGCACTGGGCACGGCACGTCTCCAGGATGAAGGACCACCGCCTCCCTAAGATTGTGCTTTATGGTGAACTTCCCATCGGCTGCCACAAGAGAGGAGCTCCAAAGAGAAGATAGAAGGACTCCCTGAAACAACATCTCAGCCTTGGCCATATTGATCTTCATCACTGGTCTACTCTGGCCTCCAATCAGGAGGTCTGGAGACACACCATCTATAACACTGCTGCTTCTTTTGAGAACGCACACAGGATCACTCTCGAGGAGAAAAGACAACGTAGAAAGAATCATGTCTTGCCGATTCCATCCAAGGAGTCTTTCTGCTGGGCCTTTTGCAACCGGACTTGTCTATCTGGTATTGGCCTCTTTAGCCACGAGTGCACTTGCAGCAAATGTGGGTAGAGCCCCTCCCAAATCCTTGTTCACGAAGCCTAGCCATGAATGAATGAATATTAAACACATGAAGTCACCAAGCAGTAGCTATTGGTAAACAGAGAACACAGACATGCCTCAACATACATCTAAGACATAAACTAAGATAACCATCTATTAACTATCTATTGAATTTTGGTCTTTCTCTAACAAAATTTCTTCTTAGTGAAATTTTGCATCAATATGTAAGAAAAAAAAATAATCATAAATTATTTCAAGCACTCCCATTTAAAAAAGCTGAGAATTCAGCCTCCACCAACCTTGCAGTTTCTTTCTGCATAAAAGCAAAATTGCATTACCTGTGAAGAGCTGAGAACAGGCTGCTTGGACTCAGCAACACTGGTCCCTGAGGCAGCACAGTTCCTCGTTCATTGACCCAGTGCAAGTATCCTCTGGTCATGCCTGCCATTCCAATAGCACGTGCTGAGCAGTACAAAAACTTATATCCATTTCTGTGAGCAGATACAAAAGAAGAAACTACTGTAAAAATAAAGCAGGTACTTAAGTATTAATAATTTTTGGGCTTACTTTTACATTAACCAAGTCATGACTATTAGACTTATGTTTAACGTAACTTGATTTAAAAGGAATAAAAACATTTATGCCAGAAACCTGAATAATTAAAACCTATCTAGTTCCACTGCATTTTGTGATTGCACCTAAAGAGGGGTCATTTATCTCTGCTCTTCTCATGATTTATGACTCCTCATGGTTTCCTATCCACCCCTGCATGGTAGAACCATGAATTAACTGAAATGACAACTGTGAAGATGAAAATACTTGGTATAAAACAGATAATGGTGTATAGGCCTTTGCTTTACTAAGAGTATTGCATTCCTGCCTCTTGGGCCTCTACAAAAACAGACTAGTATATTTGCAGCAGTAACATATTAGTTCAAGTTGAAACAAATTTGAACTTCAAAATACAGTATGAGAAGTAATCCTTAACTTGACACTGAAATAAGTTTTGGTAGAAGTCATAGGTTGCCTTTGGTTCTGTTCATGGCAGAACAGAGTCCTATCTGATACTAGTTCAACTTAATAGCAGTTTACTTTCCAATTCCTATAAAGAAATTACTGTTCATAAAATACAGAAATATTGTATTCAGTGCATGCATGGTCATTAGATCTAACTACTGAACATTTATATGGTGTTCAGCTGTAATATCCAGCCACTACGTAATTAACTCAGTAATTTGAAAACCAACATGACTCAAATCTATTTTTTCCCCTATGTTTATGATCACCAAAGCCCTAACAACTGACAGTGCTGGCAGGCACAGAAATAACAACTGCAATTAAAAAAATTAATTAATATTTTCACCAAATGTAATGCAGAGCTTATACACAGAACTCAGCATGTGAATTCCGAGGCTGTCTTGTCTTTTCTGTGTACACGTATGTTTACACACAGACAAGTGTCTCTGGCATAATTAGATTTCATCATCCATAATTTATAATTCATCATCCATGTAAAACAAAAAGCAGTAAACAAACCTTAGCATAACCCTAGCACACAGAACAAATCAGATTAACTAAGAGGACAGTTGTGATGTGTACCAGAGGTACATTTATGGTAATTTGAATATCTAAGAAAAGCTGACTTAAACACAATAAAAGAAAACAGCAATCAGTAATCCTCCTTGTAAAAATTAAAATCAGATACTTTATCTGATCCCATTCTGACATCAATTAATTTTTCCTCATTTCCTTTTTTCTCTCAGTGGGTAATTACAAAATTCACCATACTCTGTCTTTGTCTTTCCAGTGTACACAATGGCTTGACTACATTGTAAAATGTATCAACGGAACCAACAGTACATCTGTACTTTTGCACCAGCCTTGCTCACCTAGAAGCATTCCCACACATCACCCCATGTGAGCTGGTACTGTCGGATTGTTTTTCTACTGTTCATATTCATCAGAGGAAACATCCCCAATTTTTTGGAATATATTGCTCTAGGTAATACCCAGATAGTCTTCTTGTTAATGACATTAACTGACCTAGAGCACAGCTGATATACTGTTGCCCAGTATTTCTTCAATAGCTAATGGAAAAAATATTTTTTTCTAAACATGGTTAGATCTCAGGTGTACTGAGCTACTTTTTGAAGATGCCCACCTTTTTCCATGGATTACGGAGAATGTAAAAGCCACACCTAAACATGGTGAATCCAACCCTTTACCTCCTCCAGTGGCATGGAAAGTATTTATCACTGTGGACCAATGGGCATCAGTGCAGGTCAATTACTGGATTATAATACAGTAACTGATGTTGCCAGGTTAAAGCCTTTTCCTTAGGCTGTTCACAGCATATGCCTTACTGACTTTCGATAACTTTAAATTGTACTTTAAGCAATGTTTACTTATCACCTACTCTCAAAATTGACCAATGACACAAAAATATTTTAAGACTGATCCTTCCTAACAGTTCAATTTAACAATGGAATAGCAACAAACACTTGTATAGAGGAATAACAAAATAAATTGTATAATCATCAGTATTAAAAAAATTACACGCTGCAACTGTATAACTCGTTCAAATTACTACAGTCTTTGGAACTAACTGTAGGTATCTGTTTGGGATGGTTGGAAGAGCAATCACTGCTCATAGATAGGGGACTTTTGCTTTTGGTATCACAAAGCAGGTTTTGCTCTGGACACCATGCAGTAGATGTCTGCACTGTGTAAGCATCACTGAAGTGATAAGATATTGATGAAATTTTTACCCTTATAGGTTAAAAGAAACTTGAGAGAAGTTTTAATTTTTATGTGCAAATAAATAAACACAAACAAGCCACAGATGCATGAACAGATTTACTGAATACTCACTGGCTCACTTTATGGTACAACTTTGCAATCCCTTGGTGTGTCCAGTCTTTGCCAAGAGTTGGTAAAATATGACCTAAAGTATCTGACCTAAATAAAGGAAAAACAATATAACTGAACTGAAAAAACCCAACACTTATAATAACAGTTGAGAATAATACAAACCCCACTACCTTACTTGGCTAGCAGCAAATGAAAATAATGTTTTCTGTAAGGTACAGATTGTAATCAGAGGAGGATTATTTTATTCCCCTTTCTTTTGAGACAGACTGATGTGCTCATCCTCGGCCACACTGTTTTAATTACTCTTATTCCCCAAGACAGATAAGCTTGTGACCCATAAAGTAACATGGAAATTACAGCACATAGGCCATCAATCAGACACGTAGGAGGCCACCAGTACTAAGCATACCTTTTGAGGTTTACATTAAATATTTTCTAAATAAACCAAATATATTCATAAGGGAAGTTTACGGGAAATTGAGAGCATGAGATAAGTCACACTCTAGCTTACTTCAAACTTCTCCACATAAAGCCAGGAGTTGGTCACATATGAAGTATTTTGAAATATTTATTCTGGTTTCAATATATTTCCTGTTTTATATGAGAAAATTATTTACAGTATAATAACAAATGGTGCAAACAGACACCTTGCTTGACTAAGCATTGTACAGATACACAGCAACAAGTCCACACCCTGAATATCTTCCATCATAGAGGGAAAAACATTGGGCAGCAGTTTAGGGTGGATTTGCACTGGTATTGTAAGGTGAAGTGATTAAGTAACTCTGGGCAGCTCAACAACAGAGTGAAGAATAGATCCCATTAACTTTACTGAAGCTTAAAAAAAAAAGTTTACACTGAAAAAGAAGTCTGCAATACAATGGATAAATCACAAGAAAGAAGAGAGTTTCAGTTTAAATCAAGTATTTTAGTTTCTCCCAGATTACTCTTGGAAATTATTTTTCCTCGTTCTTTTTTCTCATTACATAAAGCTAAGTTTCATTTTGAAATAAACTGGTTTATAAACAAAATCTAAGCATTTCACTTAAAAAGACAATGTTTTTGTGTTTCCTCTGTTCCACACACAATTGTTTTCCGCAATGTTAAATAACTAACTAAATAAAAATCAGCGAGTCAGTGAAACATTTTGGTCACTCCAAAATTCTGGGTTTTTATACTGATCTGAAATTTTCTATCAGATTCTAATTCTGAAACTGATTCTGGAGTCTTGACTTCTAAATAATAATAATGCCTCTCACTGGAATGTCCCAGTAATTTCTTCTAAAACAAAATTCTCGTGTTTCTTCTTTTTAACGCAGCAAGTGTGCTTCTTAAGTGTCTTGCAGCAAAAAAGTTAGGATTTTGCAGAAAGTCCTCCAATACTACTGTAAATACTATCATGAAACACCAATAGGTGAGAAATAATGGGAACATATGGCATGTATCTTTATTAAATTAAGAATTCAGCTAAGGATTCTTGCACTGTTTGATAGCCGAATTTTTTTTTAAAAATAAACACCCTCAGAAAATACTGGAATGTAATGATTCTCTGACTCAGAATTCCCTGCTAATTATTTTTGCCTTTAGTCTAAAGGGAAACTTGTCCTTGCAGATAAAGTCTCTCCCTGTTCATGAACTTACCGTGTGATGGTTCCATCAATGTCAGAAATAACAACTTTATCATCCCAATTCCATAGGTAAATGGTGCCTTCGCAGCGGCAAGTGCCTTGATACTGTGTTGTAACACTAAAGGTCACATCGTTGGGGCCATTCTTGAGCTTTAAGCTTTTCTGCAAGACATTATCAGCTAGATGATCAACAAACTGAGCATGTGAAATGGGCACAGTGCAAACAGAAAGCCACAGATGATCATTGTCTCGGTCACACTGAATCTTACTGCTTTCAGCAGAGCTGTGGTCTAAATAAGGACAGTAGAGGTTTGTCCTCTGTTGTGTATATTAGGCATTGATATATAGAACAGAACAAAGCAAATAAAAAAAACCTGTTTCGTAATTAAGGTATATTTAAAAAAAATAAAATCCCCAGATGTTCACATAAACAGCAACAAATGGTGGAATAGGGACCATCTCTGGGGATGGTCTATTCTGAGATATAGATACACATGCAGCGGCATGTAACATGAAGTTCCATAAACTCTAATTAAGACTGTTTATATGGGGATTTGTGTTCTGTGGTATTTCATCTCTTTCATATAAGAACCTACCTCTCACACCACATGACCTATTACCCTTCAGCCTCCACTAAATATCCTTCACTCTCCCACTTTGCTGACTTTCACTGTTTCCTGTGTTACTCAGTGACATGCTGGACAAGAGACTATTGATTTGACTTTATTTGTGGACCTACCTGTTCATTTTCCCCAAACCTGTAGGAATTTAATACTCTAAGTGTATCTTTTTCTTAGTTATCTTTCACAGCTGTTTTTCAATTAGTAAAAAAGTGAAAAGGAGGTGGGAATGAAGAATAACTGATGGGTAACTGATCAGTCTCAGCCACTGTTTCATCAAGAAAACAATTTAAGAGCAGTTTTAGCTTCAGTTAACTTCTGCAAGGTTTCTGAAACTGAAACATACCAATATATTTATGCCACCCTTGCTTTCTGTTTGCTATAGAAAATTACCAACACATGCCATCTATCTCTTGGGAAAAATTCTGTATTTCTTACAAATTATCCAGGCAGTGAGCAATGGGTTGTTTAATCTCGTACACCTTGTGTACGTTTCCTTCAGAAAACCGATTGCCTGCAGATAAGACGACAAAAAGTATTTTCCTGAAGTAGCCCATTTTTCCAGATCAAATTGAAATGTACAGAACACAAAACTGAAACAGTTTTGTCACTGTTAGTCAAAACACCTCTGTCACAGAGGAAAAGAAATGGCTTCAAAGCAGTTAATAGTCTGGCCTCATAGTAAGTTCACAAGAAGCTCTTTTACAAGTTATTAACAGAAAACTGTATTTATGCAAAATGTGACTGTCTGCCTATGAATGAGAGGAAAGGAAAGAAGGAAAGGAGAAAAGGAAAAAAAGAAAAAAGAGAGGCCTGTGGATAAACATATACACACTATATATACTACAAAAAATGATGTGGCTCCAGTACACTTTTACACAGGTAAAAGTACATACTTTGGAATTTAATTTTGACCTTTTTCTAAATGGAATCCCACCTCTGAATGCCAGCACTTGCTGCAAGGAACAACATTCATGCTTAATATATAAAAGAGAAAGGGAAAGTTGATTTTTTTTAAAATGTAACAAGAGAGAGAATTAAATGGAAGACATGAGAGGTAATTAAGCTTTGCAAGCCTGAATAACAATGTGGTTCATATCGTACTAGAAATGACATTTAGGACAAGGATGTAAAATTAACTCACAAGCTGGTCAGAAGTGAGCCGAAGTGATTTTTTGTAACTGACTCCAGATAATAATGAGAGATGACTGGAGTTGGTTTGTAATGACCCAAGGTTTTGTTTGGCAGCTCTAGGGTCTTCATCGCTTGAAGAAGATTCATCTTTTATTCTGGAACATTGCACACACAGAAAATGATGTTATCATGTCAGTAAATGCATCTCAGCATCCATTAAAAATGCATTAACAGTGAGTCACCAAGTAAGTCCTTGGTTCTCTGCTTCCAAGTACTGTCTCACAGGAGGTCATTCACAATATGACTTTGAATATATCAATGAAGCACTGAATTTTCATTCATGCATGTTCCCCATTATTCATAGTTGGATTTCTCTAGCCATTCACTTGTTTTCACTACTTAAATTTAACAAATATAAATTAATGTGCTGTATTGACTCAAAATTCTCATAGTGGTAAAAAAAAAAATACCCACCAGATACTATAACTACAAAAAATCCTCTGTTCTCAGGAGAAGAGAGATGCATTTGTTATTCTGGCTGTCTCTTACCCGTTCTCTCCTTCCCCAAAGAATTTAAAAATTAATAAAAAAGAAATGCAGGTGGTGGAAATTTTATTATAGAAAGTAACTCATCTTTCTCTTTCATTGATTAAGTTCAGCTTATTGGATTATTCTTTTCCAGAATTTTCAGGATTATCCCATTCAGGATACAATGAAGAAAAGTCATAAAACCTGAGCTCCCTCACACTATTCTGTTTAAATATGCACTGGTATAGGTTGGGTCTTTTTTTTCTGGTACAACCATTTTTTAGAGATTTGTTAAGAGTATTTTTCTTCAGAGAAAAAGTTTTCCTACAGTAAAAAAAAAAAAATCTATCACTGTAGGCAGAAGGTAAAATACTCTTTCAGATCCTACAAATCTTATCTTTCAAACAATCAGCATTTGCCCTCTTATTCAATCACACCTGGACATTGTTTGATGTTAGGAAGTCTTGACCCAGTATCAAGGTACTGTATGTCATGACTAGCAACATTTAAAAGCCTATTTTATCTTTTGTGACATCTCAAAAGCTTTTCTCAACATCCCACTTGTCACATTGTGATGGCAAACAGTAAATTTTTAATTACAGACTTCTAAGGCCAGTTAAAATTTAAACAAAGAACACCAATTTCAGAATCTAGTCTGCTTGAAGTCTTAATCCCACTTTAAAGCTTATCTTTAAACAACCATGTAAGAAACAGACCTAAATGTCATGTGTCATCCTTAAAAGTAAAATCAGCCTTCCTGATTTATTCCACGGTTCTCAATCTCAGAGAGGCAAGAGAGACAACAGCCAGTCTCCTACAGAATGAGGAATCTTCCTTCCAGCCCACTCACCTGGATTGCAGCTGCTGACCACCAGAAAGAACAACAGTAATGACTTTTTGTTTCAGAAATGTGACTCCCAAACTTAACATAATGAGAATATCTAAATTTGGCACTTTTCAACTGTAAGTTTAGACAGCACATAGATGAGCTGCCTTTACATTAAGATCTGTAAGCACAGAAAAGGGGCAAGGTAGAAGAGCTGCTCCTGGGCAACTCATCCCTCCAAAGCAAGTTAAAGCTTATGAAAAGCTTATGAAAGCTTCCTAAAGGTGAGATTCTGGCTATACGCTGTGATTCGTCTGGAGCACAAGAAGGAAGAGACTCCTGCAATCCTTGAAAGAAGTAACAGAAAACATGGCTATTACCTGTGAAAAACACTCTGGAAAGTCTTAGGCCCCTGAACTTCCCAAAATATGCAGGAACAATTTAAGTGGTCAGGCCATAAATCCAAGTAAATTGAAAATTTTAGCAACTGGGATCTGACAAAAACATAAGTTCATCCATGATGTTCCCTTGAAATGGGAATGTGTGCCACAGAGCTGCCAGCCAAACCACAGAAATGCCAGGGTGCACCCACTAGGTCTGCCAACCCTGCCATGGGCAGAGCCCTCCTATCTGCACTTATGTTGTGCAATTAGTAACAAACTAAACTTATTTCACTGAGACAGCATTTCTTTGATCAAAACATACCAGGTGCTTTCACTTTTAAAAGGTAATTCTTGCTTATTTGAGGTACAGATAATTTTGAGGATACCTGTTTGCCCTGCTCATCTGGGAAGAGTCTTCTATAAGTCCACTCTCACTCACACCTTGCTCTTGCTTTGTTTCCTGCAAAAACACAAGTATGAGTAGCTAGGCATCTCCTGTTGAGCAGAAAGCAAATGTCTTTAGAAAAACACTTGAAAATCAAATTCTGTCTTGTATGAACTTGGAAAAAATCAATAGCATAGAATCAGCTGGGTTGGAAGGAACCTTTGAGATCATCAAGTCCAACCCTTGATCCACTACCGCTGCGGTTACTAGACCATGGCACTAAGTGCCACATACAGTCTCTTTTTAAAAATTTCAAGGGATGGAGAATCCACTACTTCCCTGGGCAGCCCATTCCAGTATCTGACTACCCTCTCTGTAAAGAAATTCTTTCTAATATCTAACCTAAACCTCCCCTGGCACAACTTGAGACCATGCCCTCTTGTCTTGCTGATAGTTGCCTATCAGCATGTTTGTTTCCTTTGCTTGTAGGCAAAGTAAAATCTCATGGTTTCCTTAAAGAATGTAGGCTGTTCAAAGACCTAAAAAATTAAAATATAAAACCCAGAGGGTAATTGAGATTTAGTTTTGCATGGAAGAAGTAGAGAAATATCAGATTTTATATCTAGTACTGTTGAAGTTCTGGGATCAACTCCATAACTACTCAGTTCATACACCTCAAATACCTAGATTTCACCTGAAAAAGCAAAGTATGACTCTGGAGATGGAAAAAAAATGCAATTCCCTTTCATAGAATCATTAAAATTTTTAATCAAATAAAACTCTCCAAACTGCTCTTGAGTAAATCCTGAACACTACTGATTGTCATTCCACAAGATTTTTAAATAGTGAATAGTTCGACAACTCAAGAGATAACCAAATACTTCCAGAGGTAAATTCTAAAAACTTCAAACAACTACAAAACTAAAATCTCATGCTCTGAAGCCCATACCCACAGATCAGTACAATGGTTATTTCAAGGCTAAAGAAGTTCCTGACTGAGGCATAACCATAAAATTGTATTAGAAGTCATTTTCTCCCCTCAAGTACTAATGCTTCAGTAGAATAAATTACTATGAAGAGGTTTTATTAGAAAATTTTAAAGATTAAATATGTCTAGACAGGAGATCAATATTTCATATAAAGCTTTGTTTTTTTCACTGTTCTTTAATGTTCATCCATGGCTTTAAGACTGTTACCACAAACTTTTAATGCTTTGAAAAGAAACTCCAGAAGACTTTCAAACTAATATATATATATATATACAGTTTTCCATCTTAGGTTTTGCTGAATTTTACAGCTCACACTACTCATAAATATGTCTGCTCCTCAACTATCAAAAGAAAGCTGCAGAAAGGTAGGTCATCTGCGTTAAAACATTAAATTAGTGGCACAACTATTTGATTCTAGGTTCCCAAACAGAGATTTAATAGATTAGATAATACTGCCTCAGATTTTTTTATAAAAATAAAGGGAGAACCAAAACTCTTCAGTCAAATGTTTCAGGTAGGGTCTGATCCAAAGTTTTCTGAAGTCAAAAGAAATTAGACTCCAGACCATGTTTAAATAGCTCTTAATGTCTACATCCTCAGTCAAACTGACTACTGAGTTGCTCTCTGAAGTAAAGTTCTGAGGGATGAATATGGAGATACCCAGCCTTCCCATTGCAACAAAAAAGAAACTCTTGCTTGCTTCTTAAACTTACCTCTTTAATAGTGCTGTTCCTCCCTCGCCATGAAAACCACCACCTTCCACCTTTTTTGGGCATCTTGTCCCTCATTATAGATTCCACAGTTGCCTGTGATAAATGGATGGTAACATAAAAAAGGCCCAAAACAAAGGACAACCTGATATATGTAAAAGAAAAAGTGCCAAACACACAATTTTAACTGATAATAAATAGAATAAAAGTAAACATACTGTCTGTGGACCATACATTCTACTAAAGCAAAATCTAATGGTATCCAGAGCTGCTCTGAAGTAACTTAAGCATGAATACTTATGGTATATTTAAAAGGAAAATGAAAAAGAAACCAAACCAAAGAAGAAAAAAAGCATAAAGAGATATTAGTATAATGTCTAGAATGGAGAACCTACTGTTTTTAAGTTATTTAGCACAAATTATATGTTAAAAAAAAGGAAAAATATCACTTTCTGAAGGAGCTGTCATGCAAAACAGTAAAAAACTGACAGGCAAGATGGCTATTCTCATTTAAAAATAACTGCAAAGTTCATCATTAACCACCAGTTTAGAAAAAAAGCAAAGACATCACTAGCTTTTATGACAATGTTAGAATTGGGTTTTTTTATAAACCCTGGTTACTTTTCATTGGTTCTATGTACTAGACATAAGTAGAGAAGTTTCTTTCAATATCCATAATGACTAGAGCCTTATGCATTGCAACAAGGAGAGCTGAATTCTTTCACTCAGAGAGTAGCAAAAGATGAAAAGGGAAAATATTATAGTAAAGGTGGCCACAGGGTTTGATATGCCCTGGAACAGCTTAGCTACTGCCTTTCTAAGATGCTAGCTTCCACTGTAAGCAAAGTCACCAAAAGGAAGCTGTGATGTTCATTAGTGATTTTTTAAAAATTGAAAAAAAATTCAAAGAAGTCTTAGCAGTAAAGGGAGGCTTCACTCAGCTAATGTGTGGAACAATGTACCCCTTTTCTCAGTTTTTCCCTAGGTTCTCTCCACTGTATTATTTGAAGTATATGAGGTCAAAAAAGGAATTACAGAGGAATAAAGTTGAGCAAATGACAGTTTTTTAAACAAAATAACAAAAACAGAGAGTAGATGGAGCTACTGAGAATGGAATGCCACCAATGAGAACAACAGCTACAATTTAAAGAGGTTCTCAAACATATTGATAACTTCAAGCAGATGTCCTATTGACTTTTAGTGAGAGAATTCACATGCTTAAAATTAAACATGCATTTAAGTCTATTTTACAAACCACGAGTGATTTCTTTTTGCAAAAACTTCAGTTTTCAATCACTTCACAGTGTCTGTTTTAATAAAATATCTTAGTATTTCAATTCCTTAGTTTCATAACTATAGCAAACCAAAACTCTAAATAACAAGTCGTGAGGAAAACCAGCAGGATGACTGGTAGAATAAATGAGTAATTTTAGTTTCAGAGGTACAGTTCAACAAAGTAAATCTTCCCAATCATACAGACTGCTCCAACTATAAATATCGGTTTCTCCACTAAACTAAAATTGCACTGCCTAAAAAGTTATCAGTCTTCAGAATACACATTAACCACTAAACAAAAATATGAACACACTGAATTTCACACTCATAGGTGATTTTTCTCAAACACTAACATGGGCCAACATAATTTATGTTTACAATCCATATTAACGAAGTAAAAAAGGAAGTTTTCCTTCTTCAAAATACTTGTAATCACCTGGCAGCCAAACACTGTTCACAAACCAAACTTAGTCTGGCTTATTTAGACCTTAGCATAGGCTAGACAAACAGTTATGTGTGGATAGATAATACTGTGTTCTCTTGTACAACAACCCTCTTCCCTCCCTTAATCAATGGTATAATTTCACAACTCCTCTTCTTACCAATCTTCATGTTCAATCTCACCTTTGGCAAAGGTTTCTGGAATGCCTGCATTGCCAGCAGAAGGGGACCAGCTGTCGTCCAGTTATAGTACCTGGGCACGCAAGAGAGACAATTGTAATCCCAATTCACAATCTACTTCATATTTATCATCTGGCACGTTAAAGCCATGAAACACAGATCAAACTCTGGTCTGCACTAGTAATAACAGACCCATCTTATTCCACAGGTATTTATGGCATATACTTTTCAGGGTATGTAAGAGAAGCTAGACCCTTTAGAAAGGGTATTTGTCACACATTCCTCAAGTCATCACAGAATCACAGAATGGTTTGGGTTGGAAGGGACCTTAAAGATCATCTAATTCCAACTCACCTGCTAAGGGAAGTGACATCTGCCACTAGACCAGTTACTCAGGGCCCCATCCAACTTTGTCTTGAACACTTCCAGGGATGGTGCATCTACCACTTCTCTGGGCAACCTGTTCCAGCGATTCACAGTAAAGAATTCCTCCTAACATCTAATCTAAATCTTTCCTCTTTTAGTTTAAAACTGTTCCTCCTTACCCTATCACTATCAGCCCATGTAAAAAGTTGCTCTCCTTTATTCTAAGCTCCCTTGAAGCAGAAAAAAGCTGCAATGAAGTCTCCCCAGAGCCTTCTCTTCTCCAGGCTGAGCAGCCCCACCCCTGTCATCCTGTCTTCATAGGAGAGGTGCTCCAGCCCTCTGATCACACCTTTGTGTCCTTCCTTCAGACTTGCTCAAACAGATCCATGTCCTTCCTGTGCTGGGGACGACAGACCTGGACACAGCACTGCAGGTGGGGTCTCACCAGAGCTGAGCAGAGGGGCAGAATCACCTCCCTTGACCTGCTGGCTACACTGCTTTGGATGTAGCCCAGGATATGGTTGGCCTTCTGGGCTGTAAACACAGACTGTTGGTTCATGTCCCACTTTTCATTCACCAGAACCCCCAAGTCCTTCCCCACAGGGCTGCTCTCAATGAGTTCATCTCCCAGTCTGTACTCATGCCTGGGATTGCCCTGACCCAGCCACAGCACCTTGCATTTGAACTTGTTGACCTTCATGAGGGTCTCATGGGCCCATCTCTCGAGTTTGTCCAGGTCCCTCTGGCTGGCATCCCTTCCTTCTGTTGATTCAACTGCACTACTCAGTTTTGTGTCATCTGCAAACTTGTTGACGGTGTGCTCCATCTCACAGTCTACGTCATTGATAAAGATACGGAAGAGCACCAGTCCCGAGACAGAGCCCTGAGGGACACTGCTCATTATCACCCTCCACCTGGACATAGAGCCATTGACCACAACTCTCTGGCAACCATCCATCCAGCTAATGTCCTTACTATACCTCATTATCACAGCATGAGCCACATTTTTTACAAGGTTTTCCATTTTTTCATCAAGGAACTACATAAAGGTCAAGGGATGTAGTCTGTAGAATGTCAAGCTTCTGCTATTACATGTTGAACAGGGGTCAACTCTTGCTACAGATAGTAGGACAATTACAGTATCCATTGTCTAGGGAAGCTGAAGCTCACACAATATTCAGAGAATATGACAGTAAGATCCTCACTAAGTACTCTTTTATTTCCAACACATTCAGTAGGCAGGTAAATACTATCATCAAATCCAAATGACTCTGTCAGGGAAGCAGGAAATCACTCACCTCAGAGCACAGAGAGGGTCAGGTAAGAGGCCATAACATACACAATACACACGGTACATGAGATTTGCATAGGCAATGTCTGTGACTAAGGGTAGCCAAACCTCTAAGTGCAGCACAATGCCATGATGTCTCCTCTATCCTCTAACACTTTGCCAGGTGTAAGGTTTTAAGTTAAAGAATCCATCAAATAGCTGCATCTGCATATGGTATAGACTACAGTGCTGCCCTGCTGCTGGCAATATAAACATGAAATAATCTTAGCCTTGCAGAAATGTCTCGTACTCAGTGGCTGAAGTTTGACAAGTCTTGAAAAGCAATGCCTCCAGAGAGGCATATTAGCAAAATATTCAGTACATACAAAAAAATTGCTGGGTACTGAGTGACTGCAAGCAGACTGACACATCCCTGCAAATATTAATTATTCAAAGTGGCTCAGGGCAAGCCTTAGCAAGTTCATATCATATTTAATTTTTACTCTGTCCATTGAGTGTGAATACTATCAGCATTTAATAGCAGCTTCTTGAAATTCAAATTGTGTCAGTTAGCTCTAATAGGTCATTTGAAACTGCTCTTTACTTTCAATTTAATGGAGGAAAGGTAACTAGAAGGGGCTGAATTCACCATGGAATTGAATCTTTCTGGATGAATCCAAGCTACAGACATTCAAAACCTGTTTTTCAGCTATGGCTAAACTGATCTAATGTACTGAAGTGCCACAGAAGTGTCTTTGTTACAACAGTAACTTTTTTTTTTTCTGAAATATACTTACTTATTTCCAATCTTAACCACAAGGTTAGGGTCATCGATGATAGCAGGATTGTCCACAAACTGCTGATATGTGACTGCATGTTCTAAGAATTCTTCTGCGGGGGAAAATGTTACATTTGTAAAGCATGCATTTATAGATGCCTGAGATGGGCCAACCTAAACCTCATAGCATCTCTCAGGTACACAGGTTTTACAATCATTATGAGGGTGCTGAAATTTAACTGTAATATGGAAGCAAGTTGTTCAGAGACTCTCAGAAGATGCTGAGGGTTTCTTTTTTTGCTTCTGGGCGTCTTTCTTGTTCAACATATAATTTAAGTGAAAGCTCAGGGATGTAATTATGAGGGAGGAAAACTTCCTTTTAGAAAAGTTATAAAATTTACAAGTGATTCAGATAACAATATGACTCCAATAAATCACAGTATATTTGAAATGTTTTAATACAAAGCTTCTGAGCAGCAATCAGTGTAGCATTAGGCTCATATGATTTTATGATGCCACAATACTGTAGGAAGTGTAAGTCTTAACACATTTATCTTCTCCTTATGCCACTGGAAGTTTAAGGAATAGAGTATTATAGGTGATGTACTTAAAAGTTACACAAGAAATTGGAGTGGAGACAGGAACTCATGTTGAGCATTCCAACTCTCTATCCTCATGTCCCCATTTACAGACCACCTTTTCATTCCTGACGACAGCTGTGAATTTCCTAGCTATATACTATACCAAGTGGCAAGAGCACCACTAACACTATTGTGATACAAAATATAGTGTTATCAGGAAATAAAAATATCAATAAAATACTTTCAAACATTTTTGTATGTAGTGGATTACTAAAACATGTTAAAAATAGTAAGTTCTATATAAGTCTACTATTCTAAGCATAAAAAGTTCTAGAAGACTGATTATTACATGGCCAGTATTTATCTTCTCAACACATTTTTGAGCACAGCCACAGGAGGGCTCTGCAGCCTCAGGCTGCGATGCTCAAACCTGGCTGCCAGCAAATGCCTGCAATTCAGAAAATCATTCTGTACCTTTGGTTATCTCTTTGTTGTCAGTAAGGCCTCCACAGAGAGAAATGGCAATGGAGGGCAAATCCCGAATTCCATCCGAGGTGCTTTCAGCTCCACTGTCAACACCTGAGCTCCCAACAGACTGTGGAGAGTGGCTGGCCGACCGCGGCCCCGTGTCATTCGTGCTCTTACTTTGGACATTATCCCCACTGAAAAAGAAAAATCAGGAATTCAGTCTTCATGCATTCCTTCCCAAATTCACTCCCTTTGACAAGCACTGTATACATTTGGTGCATACTAAGATTAAAAAAAAAAAAAAAAAGAAAAAAAATTTGTTGAATTTTACAGTACATGGGAACAAGAATAATGTAAATTAAATAATAAACTAATGTTTAATTATATAAACTGATAGCTAAACCCAAACAAAAATGTGTATGTTTGTGTATTTATGTGTCATGTATCAATAAATAAAACACTCTACATATAAACTACTAGGATTAAAATTTTAAGAAACAATAAATCATTATGCCCACTTAAAATTTTTGTATGGATGAGATAATTATTACAAAATTCAAGCTCAAACTGTGCTTTTCACTCCAGATTTATAAGAATGCATTTAAGAAATTTTCAATCTGATATTTTTCCCCATATAACTAATCTTTTTCAGTTTTACTGAAATGCTAATATTACAACAGCTGACTTAAGCAAGCAAATAAGAAAAATAAAATACACAAGCTATTTTAGTTATTGCTCAATGACTTTAGTCAAATGACTAGAGTATGATGTGGAAAGAGGAGCTATAAATGTTACAAGAGGATCTAATAAAGATCAGAATGAGTTGGAAATCGTATGCTCAGGGTGCAATATTTTCGCATATAACTCTGTCATGTATCTTCCAGAAATTATTTTCTCACATTCATATTTATAGGTGATCACCCACAGTAGAGCAACACTAGAGCAATAATTTTCTGCTAATACTATTAACAGTAAGATATGTTCTTCATGGTAATAAGCCAGGACACGGGGATAAATATATCCCAAAGCCAACTGCTCTCCATGGACATGTGAGTAACACTCACAAACATCAGTGTATATTACATAATGATCTACAATCAATATATGATGCTTAATTGACCAAAACAGAAAACAAGCTGCAAGCACACTTCTCAGGCCCAAATGCAGCACCTTCCAAAAGATCTAATATTCCTCTCTACAGAGTTTTATTTTCCTTCTACCTTCATCTCTGCTTGGACTCTGAAAAAGAGGTCTTATCTGGTTGGCAATGAGTTTATGAGTTTGATCTAAATATGGAAGGTGACAAGAGCTCTTTAAAAAGTAAAAATATAAGAAAAGAACTTATACTTCTTGGGGAAATACAGTGCAGCAACTTCTGGATCCATATCAGTGAGGTCATCTAAATAGACACCATCAGCACCAAGATGCCGGCTTCGTTTGTCTGTAAAGAACAGCACAAATCAGCCTATTAATTAATATTTTCTGAGTAACAACCCAGAGCTGTTATTACTGTTCAACTATTCATTTTAAGATTGAGAAACCAGACAAGTTATAACAGTTTGTGAACTGTATTTGTACAGAATGGTACTGCCAAAAATTTCAAAACAAGTTGTTCAAACTATGAATATACAAAATGGGACAGCAGAGGACTAGTTTTGAGACATGTTGAAGACTCCCTATGCCAGACAAGATCACTAAGAATCAGAAGTCAGTGGTCACTGCAGGAAAACAGCAAGAGGAAAACCTAAGTATCTGCATAGGCCTACTGTCACAGTATGGCAGTCAGAGCATTTAATCTCCTAATCTTCAATCCCTCCTTGCAAAAGGGAAGTAACAGACTAGACTATAGTCTCTAACACACTATAACTGGCTTGTTAGGAGACAACTCACTGTTGAGCACATACAGCTGATGTGCTGTCTGTGCACATGCACCATTGTAGGGGACAAGACAACGCTCTTAAGTCTGTCACAAGGACCAACACACAGAGCCATCACTGTCCTGTTGTTGCTAGTACACCTAGACAAGTAACCACTGCGGGACCAAAAACTAATTTGGAATTGATTCTCAAATGCACAACCTCTCACTATCCCAATTTTCAACACCAAATATCAGAAAAGTAATTAGAAAAAAGTTATGCAAATACTGAATAGTAACACATCAGGTTTTTTTTGTTTTCAGAGACAGTGGAATGCATGGGGAAGAAGCTAAGAAACTTCTATGTTTACTGATTAAAAAGCAGCTGCACAAATTAGGCTTATATAAAGCTTATATAATTATAGAATGAGTGTTCTAAAACAGAAAATTTGTAAGCAAATAAATTTCATGTAAAGATTGTAACACTTGTTATAAAATATCATTAATATACAGCCCAGAAATTAGGAAGTAGAAAAGTAGATGGAGTTATATTTCACATATTCAGGACACGATATTTACCACACAGAACTGAAAAGGTTCATGTGAAACAAAAGCACCTCATTTTAAGGCAGAACTACTGTTTGTATAAAGACATACTACAGTGTTTTACTAGAGCAGAGTTTCCAGTTATCAGCAACATATAACTCAGGGGAACCAGCAGATCTACACAGTGCTTATCTACAGAGTGAAACCCCTGAATCTATCAAACATGAATGAAACTGAAGCAAGTTTTGCTCACAGTCTTGTTCATATGCACAGAGCTGCCAAGAACTCCAGACCAAGGAGAATTTTCTAATACATATCTCTTGTGAACAACCTGCTGCACAACTCAGGTTTTGAAGGCTCCTTCCAAACCTTACTCCTTTCCAGACCTGAAAGTGTCTCCAGGGCACAGATTAATTTATATGGCAACGAGGTGCTTTACCACCATGAAATTTGAAGACAAAATCATATATGTAAAAGTGCAGAATCAACAGCTACCTTTCTTTCTCGAAGGGGAATCTGTCTTGCCAGTTGGTTGGGCTGAGCAAGCTGCAGCTTGTTTTATTTCTTCATTGGCAGGCAACGGTGGTACAGTTGCTCCTGGCGACTCTGTCTCTGGCTTATTTGTCTCAACTGGTAAGGGCTCACTTTCATCAGCAGTTGCTGCATCTGTTTGTCCAAGGGCAGGCGAAGGAGATACTGTATTAAGCTCCTCTAAAGGAGAGCTCTGGATGACCCGAAAGTGAGTGCTTTCAGAAGGATTTACGTCCACCACGCTGGGTTCCTTTGCTTTGAGCAAAGAACTGGCCTGTGAGGAAAATTAAACAGATTATTATAAAGAAAAGCTCTTAAAAAATGCAACAGCCAGAGTTTAACCTGTTTGGTTCACTCCAGTGAGATGAGATTCTCAGGATAACCAACCACAGTAGAAAGCCATCACTAACTGAGATGGAGACTACAGTGCACAAACGACCTTTCTGCTGTGTTTGCTTGCACAAAATTCACCTGCATCTTGGGGCCAGGAAAGATTTGTTCTGCAATCTGCTCTACAGTCTTCATTTTCCACTCACCTGCACATCCCACCTCCCACCCTGCCTTCCCTCCCTTCCTGTGAAAATCTTCGCTTTCCTTCAGGAGGTAACCCTGACAAATAGGAGAAAGTAGTGCAGACTGAAGTCCTTGCACAATCAGGATGCTCAGGCACCAGGACACTGTCATTCATCTATACCCCAGATTTAGATTTTAAATCACTTTATAAGAAAAATTTCAGATCTTCTTTGAGTGTGGGATAGGAAGTGTTCTTACAGAGGGGAGCTGAACTACAGCAGCAGCTGTATAGATGCTATAACCTTCACGTCATAGCAAACAAACAACTCTTACATGAAGATCAACAGCATCCAGAGTATAACTCCCAGTTCAGGTATGGCCAGATCAACTCAGAATAGCTTGTCTAAGGACACAGACAGGGACTTCAGAGGCAAAAGCCTCCAGGAATCAGATTTGCAACACACACCAGGTTGTGTTACTGGAATAAAAAAGATTTCCCTAAATCTGCTGGGAAACTCTAAATTCTAGACTGCAAATGCCAACTTGAAACTCCTGCATGGACCTGTGCACTTCAATCAGTTTTCTATGAGCAGAAAATGGCTCCCAATTTTCTTCTAATACAAATGAGGAGGAAAATAACACAGAGCTGATGATACAGCTCATCCTTGGCCTGTTAAAGAAGAGACCAGAACTCTTCTGAAGAAACTAAGAATTCAGGATTCCCATCCCCCTGCTTTTGTCACTAGTTACAAACAGTGAATTAAAGATAAATTATAATAGTGCCATAACTCTGCTGCCATCACCAGAACACAGAAGCCTTCTTTCTGAGCAAGATACTCACTGCCCTGGCCTGCAAAGTAGGATTTTCTTTTTTCTTTATACTGTGTGTGTGACCCCATCTCTCCTGCGTTCCTGTCTGCAGAGAAGCCAGCCTTCAGCAGGAAGGGCCAAACCCTGCACCGTCCTGGCCCCCACAGTTGCAGTATTCCACTGAAACCTGACCTTTATTTCTCACACCCTAGGGCAGGCATAATAACTCCCAGTTTCCCTTTCCCATAGGGATGCTCTTACTCTACAGCCATCACAAGGAGCTGACAGTACCTGAGGGAACTGCAGCGTCCACAGTTGCCACAGTCACTGTGCAGCACAGGAGACAATGCTGCTGGGACACTGCAGATCCCACCACCTAACTGGGCCAAATGGCACCAAGCCAGTCCTCTCAGCCAAGAGAACAGCATGTCTGGGCATGCAGAAATATAGGTGTTTCTAGATGCTTATGTATTCAAGGAACACAATTTTTGTGATGCATACTGCAAACACCAAGCACCTAATTTCCATCTTAAGACCATTTATGAATTTCACTGATTTACCAAAGGACATTGGGTTTGATTTTATCTGGTTTTTACACCTGCAACTTTTACAAGACTAAGTCTTAGGTACTTCTTAATTTTCAAATGTATATCATCAGTATTGAGAACATCCATGGTGTAAGATCCAATACTTCCTAAGGAGTAAGATGCAATTCTCTTACATAAAAAACTGTAATTTTATGTAAAACAAGGATCCATTCCCTCTTCAGCAGTTTGCAGTAGAATAAGTAGATGTGCCCCATTAAAGCACAATAGATGCTAGCAGGAATTAAACAAGTTACGTTGTATACCTTTGCAGCCTGGGGTAGCTCTCCCCATGCCCAGTGCATGTGGGGATTATCCTTCAGTCCACTTCTGTCCATAGGTTTACTAACTAATTCCGAGTCACTTTGAGGAGTAGGAGGGCGTGAATCTGATTGGCTAAAGAAAAACAAAAAATGTTACAAAACCAAAAGTAACCACAATGCACTTTCCAAACTGATATCCACCAACCCAAAGCACTGAAGATTGAAATAATCATGAGCCAACTGAAAGTATAAAAGGATGGCAAAATGGTTAAACAGTTCAGGATCCTCTGATACTGGCATTCAGAGGTCTCATCCATTTTATAGTAAGTGCTGTTAAGGAAGTAGAATTTGAGAAGCTGAAAGAGATGGAACAAGAACACTGGACATGAACATTTCTGGAGGATTTTTGGTTTTCTGTATGGAAAAAACAATGTGGATAGTACCAGCAGCAGTAGATTAATAGTTGTTAGTATTGTTATAGTGGATGTGAAGTGCAGAAATTACTCACTTGCATCAACAAGACACCTCATCCTGACTAAGTAATAAATTAGTCTAAGTAATCCAGTTGACTCCTTTATACTAACTTGTTCATGTTTATATGGAGAACAGCAGGAGAGTTACACAGAGAATTTGATCCCTTTCAGTTCAAACATAGTTAACTGTTTGTTTTGAGAACTACCCAATATAAACTATTTAATAATTAATTAGTAAATTATCAGCTTGCAGCACATTTTTAATGTGGTGAAGACAATAACGTGATGTCAAGTCAGTCATTAATAAACAATGATTCACTGATTTTAAGGGCAATAGAAAAATTCCGATTATCTACTCTGTCTTTCTGCATAACGTAAGTCATAGAATTTCACTGAGAACCCCCTAAACAAAGCCCATTATTTTTTGTCTGGGCCATAAAATGTGTTGGTATACTCATCCAATCCCGATTTAAAAACTACAAACTACAAAAGAATCCACAACATTCCGAAGTCAAAGGTCCAGACTGAGTTACTTTCACTCTCAAAAACAAAAGGCTTCCTATCTCATGAAGTTCCTAACTTAATGAAGGTAGAATCACAGAATCATAGAATGGTTTAGGTTGGAAGGGACCTTAGAGATCATCTAGTCCAACCACTCTGCAGGGCACATGCCAGGAGACTGGGTTGCTCAGAGCCCCAGCCTGGCTTTGAACACCTCCAGGAATGAGAAGTCCACAAATTTTCATGGCATCCTGTTCCAGTGCCTCAACATCCCCGGACTGAATAATTTCTTACCAAAAGTTCAATCTAAACCTACCCCCTTTCAGTTCAAATCCATTGCCCTTCGTCCTGTCCCTACATGCCCTTGTGAAAAGTCCCTCTCCCTTTTAGTTACTACTCTAAGGTCTCCCTCTTTCAACAAAAGGCAGTTATGTAGAGCTATCTGGTAGGGAATTCATTGGTCACAGCAAAATGATCACTTACACTCACATCTGAAATAACATCAATCTAATTATCTACTTTATTCACTGTTTTCACCTATATTGCAATAAGATACACTTTGAATATGGACAAATACTATGACTTTTTAGCTACAGATATTTATGTTACCTAATTAAATTATAAAAATTTATAAGCCATACCACTGTGGCAGATCTTTTTAGGTCCTAAGAATTTCAAGTTTTTATCAGTCCTTAGGGTATAACCTACCATTTGACAGATGAAGGAATAATACAATGCAATTTTAAGTATTTTCAAGCTCTAGGAATTCAAGAAACTCCTAGTGAGTTTTTCAAAAACTTCTACATCTCCCACTGAAAATTTTGTAGGATTTGCAGTATTTTCCATGCTTAGGGTGCACTGACACTTTGGAAATCAGGACCCTGGGCACTTCAGAAAATCTCAGCAGGCAATAATGCTCCTACTGCTGCTCTAAGCCAAAAACACCTTTTTAAAGAAGTCTTGTCACTTCATGACTTACCTAATCTGTGCACTACAGCCATTTCAACCTTCACAATACCTCAGAAAAATCTCCAGTCTGGCCTTTGGAGTGTGTTTAGCCAGGTTCAATTAGTCAACCTGAGAGAACAGAGGTATTGTTTCCATTTCAGGTAGAACCTCTGCATTTTGCAGTGAGAATACTGATTTGGGGTGGAGAGAAACCTGACCTCTTCCATAATTTTCATGGAAAGTACAGTTTCCTTGTACACACAGCTGAGTAGGGAAGAGCCCAGGCTGTTACAGAGCACCATGATTTACATTCCCGGACATACACATGCAAGTACCAGAACTATGGCACTTGCACATGTGTGTATGTTAAAGCAGGTAGAGTTCTGCTCTGTGAAGGCTCTTGCTGGAAAAGTCTGTTCGATGATCCATGCACACATCTGGGTTTGTCTTGGGCGGAACTATCTCTTGCAATTCCTCTGCCCTTAAGTTAGGGACTGATGCAGCCCAGTTGAAATTCCCTAGCTTTGCAAAGATTGCTGAGATATTTCAGATCAAACTAGAGCCACCCATCCTGGCAACACTGCACAAGCAGGAAGCGAGACTTCAGTCATTTAGATCAGCATCTCTGATTAACATCCCATAAACGATGAATACTTGTGTCACAATCCTATGTATTCCTGAACAAGCTATGATTGCACTTAATCTAATTCAATGTCAAAGAACAATGAACTTGGCCTGTAGTTGGCAGTTCTGCAATAGCAAACCATGATGATCTCTGCAGTGTTTTCCACTGGAAGAAAAAAGATCTCTGAGAAAGCAGAAGTGTGACCTGAGAAAAAGTCCCATCTTGACTGATGACAAATAACCTGTGAAAACATAGTCAGAAGGAAAGAGGCCTATGCCATGTACACAGCATGCTCACAGCAATAACTTAGAGCCTCCAAACCTCCTCTTAGGTCAACATAATAGAGTTTCTTATTTCACATTGAAGGAAAAAAATTGCTGAAAGACCCACCAGGCATTTATTTCAACAGTTGCAGACACAGAGAAGGCCTCACTCAGACAAGTTACTACAGCACTTTAGCTATCTAGACTCTAAGACAGGTGAACTGCAAAGTCCACAAAGCGACCCAGAGCACACCACTCTACCGTTCCAACCTGTGGAACTGCCCTTCCTTGCAACAGAAAACACTAAGGCAAAGAGCTTTGAATATCCCAGGATCTCGCTTTGACTTGGTGCTGCAACACAGTCGGGGGCAGACCTACAAGCTGAGAAAACCTCAAGATTATCAGTTCTGATACAGCCTTAGGCACCTAGTACTATGTTGAGATAATGAATGAGCAATTTAGCCTGATCTATTATTCAAAGCTTTCCCAGTATTAATGGAGATTTGCAGAGGTCATATTCAGACATCTACTTTAAACTTTTTAACTGAGTTGCTATGACCTCTCTCCCCTGACTTAATGGAGAGAAAGGGCCTGACTGCAGAATCTTGAGACTTCTCAAATTTAAGATAACACAAAAAGCGTCTGTATCCAATTTTACCTTTGTAGAAAAGAGTCCACCCTCACAGGAATCCTACCTACAGAGAAGGTTTAAGTCTTAATCTTCTAAACCTCCAACAGGATGCCTTACCTATTGTGTCATGTTTATTCTGCAATGTTCTCCCCCGGTCCAATTCAACACACAGAAACTCTTCCCCTCTCCCAAATCAGGGAACAAAGGAAGAGGAGTTTTCTTTTGGCACTGGGTTCCTCCCATGACAAGTTTTTCATTTCTTATTGATCACTTAATCTCTGAGGCTTTTGTTTTGCTTTTACTTTTGCAACCTATGCACAAGCAAACAACTCAGGAAAACCATGGGATAAAAATGTCATTAAAATATACGCTGACTGTAAAAAGCTACATGGAAATGTCAATCTTCAGAGGAATATTTGGTGTTTTTATCACCTTAATCAACTTGAGTTTTAACCCAGGTTATATCAGCCATCCTCATTGAATGGATGATTCAACAAGGTAACTTACCTCCAGTCAATGCCCACAAAGAAGCAAGGAGAGGAAGTGGTTTTCAATGTCACTTTCAAAGCATCTGGGTTAGCAGCAAGTACAGTTATAAATTCAACGAAGTTCACTGAGTATTAATGTGTTAAAAGTGCATTAATGTGTTAAAAGGAGTAAAAAGCAGTCCAGAAAAGAGGACAACCGTTCTACCTGTCTGGAAGAGAAAAGTGGGAAGATTGTTGAGGACAAGAGTTAGATAGGCCTCCATCTGCTGGAACAGTGAGGAGAGAGGTTTGCCCTGCACAATCTATAGGCTTACTGGGCAGCAAAGCGTGTTGGGAGAAAGAAAAACAGTGCTGATTAACATAAACTCTTTGTGCATTAGCTACATGAATGCTGAATTTACATCTAGAGTTTTCAAAATCCAGAATACTGCAATCAAGAAACAAACAGAGCACACAGTTCCAAAAGCCATTGAAAGGACAGAGCACTGACATATGCTATCACCAGACTGGTGAGGTTAATCACATAAAGCTTTACAGGCAGTGGAGAAAGTTTCTTCCAGAGTGCAATTCAAAACATTTAAATTGAGTCCTTGCTCTGAAATAATCTCCTCAGGTCCCTTCCTCTGCCCCTCAACTACAGAGGCAGGATATTGAGATTAGACTTCTTAGCATAAGGTCTTGTGAATACTGCTGTACTCCAACAGTCTGCATGGAGGATGTGGAGCACACGTGCATGGGGGCGCAGTCACGCAGACCTAATTAGAATTATAATGCAATGCACATTAAGCAAAAATTGTCCCTTTTTGCCAGGGTTCCACAGACAAGAAAGAAGATCCGAGATGCTCTGATTTGACATGAAAGGTATACACATGCACACAAATACACATAGAGGAAAAAGCAAGCAAATTACTGTATGTGTCCTCTTCACAATAAATATTCCATGTCTATACTAAAAGGGACATGAAAAGCTCATACTCTTATTCATTAAAAAAATCTTATTTTTATACATCAAGTCCAATCTTTATTACACTCAGAGTACTAATGACTTATAGACCTGCATCCACTAAAGTCTTTGCAAGGTGCGTGCATCAGGCAAATATTCACATTTCACAAAACATTCATCCTCTCTACAATATTTATAAACAAACAGTGACATTAACAGATAAAAATATTTTTCAGAATTTGTAGACCTGCATTTGTATGCATACATTTGCTGAATCAAGGACAAAGCTTACCTGAAGTTTTCGTACACTATCTGAGCGCAATTACAGAATGCGTCTAACAGTGGTCAGTGACCATGTTTGATATCAAAACTTTTAGTATGACTTCACTTACACTGGCACAGAAGACAATGGAAAAAATAAGATGAAGGTACTACCTAGGATTCTAGTATCAGAAAAAGTACCTTTGAAGAGGTGACCATTCTCCATCTGAACGAGGGTAAGGTGCAGACTGAGAAAGTACAGAAACTGCAGGAGCCTTTATGTCAGAAACATCATCAACAAACACATCTGGAACAGGGATCCTAAGTATGGGGAAAGATGTGACATTTAAAAAACATATCTGAATACTGAATTGTCATATACATCAGATAACAGAAAAACCCTACTGCAGAGAAGAACTAAAAGGAGATACAGAAATTTTATGTTTCAAACCTTCTAGTTCACAACACCACAGAGGATTCTTCTTATGTTTTCAATGTCATTTTCATTACTTTTGTTACTAACATTCCCAATAGCTCTCTAGCCTAAAGCTTTTTTCTTAAAGTAACATGTTCATCACCCATGTGTTCTAACTTAGAAATATCTGTTGGAAGGCATGGCATGGAACATTAACACAGGTTTCCATTACATATCTTAATTGCAATGCAATACCTTGAATTGTCCAATGGTTCTTTTTCTTCCTCTGAGCTAATCTCTATAGGAAACATGTCTTCATCTTCTGATGTGTCTCCATGTGTGTCTTCTCTTTTTAAGTTGTCTATTTTATGGGTAGACTTCCTCCTCTTCTTTCTCCTTTTTTTCACAGAGCTAGAGACTGGAGGTGTTTCAGTAGAAGGCTGGGATCCATGGGCTTGGGTTGGTAATTGTGAGGATGCACTGGTGTCCAGGTTTCTTATCCTGTCTATGGAATTCCTCTTCAGCTGAGATTCCATTAAAGCAGTTCCCTCAGACAGAATGGGAGATGTGGAGAGATGATAAGGAATTACCTCCTGGAAAAGAAAAAATTCAAACCATGAAAGATATTAGTTCTTCCACCAGTCATACAACTGGTTCTAAAACCTATGCACAACTACCAAAATATAAGTCATTTATTCCTCAGCTCAGCATGCTTCTACGGCATATGGAAATTGTTCCACAGTTTCATCTCCTTAGACAAGCCAGGAACAATGCTCTTAATAAAGAGCATCTTCTGAGCATCTAATATTGGCCAGGTTGTGGCATGAGTCTCTATCCACCTCATGCTAGACACAGAGTAGAAACAAAATCTTAGTTTACAACCTGAGCATTTTGTAAAATCCAATTCCCCCTCACAACTCAGATGACACATAGTAGTCAGACAGGTCAGTGGTTTATAACTAGGTCACACAAACATCCTGCTATTCAATCATATATATACACATCTCTAAATACTCATGGAAATATTTCCAGCAATTTTCAGTCACCAAATAGCTGTTGCCACATAAAAGTTTTAAAATAAAGATATAGAAATTAATATTGCACATGCACACAGCTCTCACCTGAAACTAGTAATATCATACTCAATATAAGAATTTGAAAACTCATCCTACTCTGGACACGGACAAAAATTTTTGGGGATATCTGAGGAGAAATGCCTGCAAAATTTTCTTATGTTACATTAGGTGTGGACTACTCAAAATTAATGTGACCATAACTTATATAGATTAGTATTTAACCACAGCTTAAAAGCAGACATTCTCACTTAAATATAATTCCACATGAATAATAGTTGTGAGATCATGTTTACAGTGAGTACCAGAATTAATCTGTGAACAGATGTTTACAGAGCATGTGCACTTTTACTGGCAGTCTGTCTGAGTGCATGTGTTCAAATTAAAGATTTCCACAAAAAATCAGATCCTTGGACATTAACCTCTGTTGCACACAACTTTGGAGCATGTGAACTCTGTACATGCCATTTCTGTTCCCACACTGGTATGCATGATTTATTTTTCAGTTACGTGTTAACTTTAGATTTTTTCAAATCTCAGCAACTCAAAGAAATCCCAAAGTAAGAGCATAGCATTTAATCTCCATAGCTGAAAATTGTCCAGAAACTTTCAAAATTATGAAATGGGTAAAAGTATATTTTTTCAACAAAATTCCCAAAATCAAAACTAACTCTGAAGAGCAGGCATTGAATTTTTAATGAATTAAAAGTACTTTTGACTCTTACCTGATCATTATCTGTCTCCTGCACAAAAAAGGCCTCCCCATTGTCTCCTAGTTTCATGTGCAAATCTACAGCCTCTCCATTAATTTCTATGTCAACCTGGAAGAAAATAAGTATATTCTCATATGAAAAGAAAGTTATTTTAGGTACACAGTTCCTGTTCAACTGTCCTTCTGCTGTCACTGAGTAAACTCTTCTCAGGGAAGTGTAGGAAACCTTACAATAAACATAAACCAGTAAACCTCTCTGTTTCTTTCCTTACCCCTTCACAAGGCAATCAATTACACAAATGTTTTCCTAACTTGTTCAGCTCATTGCTGTTTTGTTCCTTTATTCAGAAAGGTTTACAGACATTATATAAAGTTCTGAATATTTTTAAATATAATTCTGAATGCTTCACTTGCCACACAAATCTGTTTGGTCTTTTAATTCATCGCCTAATTTTGAATTGTGCAAGAAGTACTTCCAAATGCAAATTCTTAATAAGCTGTCTTTCAAATTCATTAAACAGACTTCTCTGCACACTATGAGAAGTAAAAATAAGAAAAATCATTTTACCTTCAATTCATGTGTCTATTTCTTCCACACATTTATCACATTACCGTACACCCTTAATTATCTCCATTTCTTCTCAGGAGGATCCCTCTCTTTGCCCATAAACGTTCTTGCACCAACTCCATTTTCATTGTAAATTTTTTTGAAATTTGTACAAGTCTACATTTATGCTGTATTTCAGGACACAGTATTGGTACAGTTACATTTTCAACTTTTACCCATCCTAAATATTGGAATTTCTTTCTGATCCATGTAAGAATTGAACAATATCCACGTTGACTTTAGGATCTTTCTGCTGAACAATTATGGTTACATTAGAACCTAGACTACATGTAGTTACAAATTATTTCCTAAAATAATCTGCCAGGCATTACTCAATGGTAACTTCATATCTGATATCATATTGCCATGTCATTCAGCCTGGTTACATTTATTTCAAGGTCCTCACTGCTTTTTCTACCTTCAATTAACCTCAACATTCTATTATCTGAAAATATTACTTTACTAATTCCTCCTTTTTTGTAATTATCATTGAACATGTCAAAGAAATGGGTTTTAATAAACAGTCACTAATAGAATCTAGTATAGGCTCTAATTAGCACATTCAAAATTTTGCTTTTTGAAAATAAACATTATAGATTTCATGGCTTTTTTCCTTTTTTGTTATAGCCGATATCTCATAAATTATGCTCTGAAATGCAAGAATTAGTAACAACCATTTTAATTGAACCCTACCTTAATTCAGGCATGTCTAAAGAAAACCTTGATTAGCAGACCACAGCACATTCAGTAACCTTCACACTATTAGAGCTAACTCACAAACAAAATATACCAAAATTCTCAATTTTCTTACCACTTTCTCCCTAGAACGTAGAACTCCCATTTTCCCAAAGCGAACATGGAAAGGGGAACACTGAAGATTTCCATCTGGCTGACGTACAACAATTATATCTATACATCCCGACAATGTGGCTGGGTTCAGCCCCTTATAGAGCTCCTTCACAGTTACAAATACTTGCCCTGCTAACTGTCCAACGTAATTCATGGTTTGGACCTGAAAGGCAAAAGACAGAACAAATTAGATTCTGATCCCTGATTTGTATTTTAGACATATTTGAGAGACGGAGAATCTAGCAGTAGGGTATTCTCCTCTTTCACAAATTAACAATTTTACACAGAATCAGGACTTCCCACCTGATTTGTTTACAGTTGATGCATATTTGTAAAGAGCTTTTAAAAGAAAAAAGCAAATGAGATCTTGTAAGTCAGCAAATTGTAACAGTTTCAAAAGTTCATTAAAATCAGTTGCCTACGAAACCACTGTCAGACTTAAGAGTCTAAAGCTCTTAAATATCTCCAGTTATCTCTGAAGAGAAAAGCATTACTTCCAGAATATCTCCTATCATTTATTGTGCCATCAACACCAAATTTACTTTTCTCATTATTTCCACAGGCTTTTAAGGGCAGGACAAGTGAATGGTTTTAAGCAGATCCAATTTTCCACTGCACTGAAGTCAAAGACTATTTTCCCACTTTACAGGGATTTCTCCCATTTGAAGATTATTATAATGCATACAGACAATAGATATGCATTAAGGTTGGACAAGCAACCTTCAATCCAGAGAGTTTGAACACTGGAGTACTTCCTAATGCAACTTCACTGTTCTTGTTTCAAACAGCCTTTTAGTATCAGCAGTTTTATTAAAAATCAGACATGCTGATGGCTGAAGTTATTGGCTTTATTTCCCCTGCTCCTGGATTTCTTTAGTGTTTAGTATTTAGCATTTAGTTTGCTGCTTCTACTCTGCTAATGCACATCCTATTTAATACATTTAGCCCCCCAGACATGACAGCATAGACATACTTATAGGATAAAAAAGACTTTTAAGATCTCTCAAAATATAAGTGAATTTAAGCAGATACCATTCTGAACAGTACAGATTTTAAGGACTTCCAGTGTCTATTGTTTTCATTATTTTTCCAACATCTCTTGCAGATTCCAAGGCATTGGTTTCTGCGAAGTCCTTGTGCACTCAGTACAGAGCACAAGACTTACATACAAGTTCTTTGGTAGGCTGTACTACATCACCTGGACATTAATAAAAGAGACACTTGCACGATGGGCAATGCTAAAACTCCCACTGATGGTGACAAGAACAGAACTGAGCTCAGAGTCTGAGACAGTCACTGTGCAGCAGCAGCATCTGCTACAATACTCTTTCAGCTTTGTTGTTTCATAAATAGCAAAAAGATGTATGAGATGTAAAAATGGCTCCAAGTTTTAACAGTTATTTACAGTTACAAACAAAAAACTATTTAAAGAATACAAGGAAAGCATTACAGTAAAAAATCAGAAAGTTAGGAAATGCTATAATTAAGGCAGGTCTCTTCATGCACTGCTGTTCTATTTAATTAATGTTTACCTGTGTTTTTTTCCAAAAAAACCTAGAATGGACTGAGGCTTTACTTTCTTCTCTGTTTCTATTTTAATACATGGGTATCAGGACACAAACCATGCATGCTCTGAAGGAAGAATTATTTATGATAGTCATCACTACATTGCCCCTGAAAAGCAATTATGGTCTCCCCATCTGACAACTGAGGGGCTGAATTACAAAAAGCTTAAGATTAAAACGAGGCATTAACTTGAAAAATCACACACGGTTTTTTTTAAGTATTAACTATACGAGATGTTGTCATGGTTTAACTCCAGTCAGCAACCAACTACCACAAAGCCACTCACTCATAATCAACTCCCCACCCCAAGCAGGATGGGAGGAAGAATCAGAATAGTGAAAATGATAAAATTCATGGCTAAAATAAAGACAGTTTAGTGGGACAGAAAAGAAAGAAAATAATAATCATTACAGCAATAAATTATATAATAATAATAATGTAATAAATAATGGTAATAATAATAAGAAGAAAATATTTTCAATATACAAAACAAGTGATGCACAATGCAACTGCTTACCACCCGCAGACTGATGCTCAGCCAGTACATGAGCAGCAGCCCAGGACCAGTTTTCCCCCCAGTTTATATTCTGGGCATGACAATATATGGTATAGATTATACCTTTGGTCAGTTGGGATCAGCAGTCCTGGCCATGTCTCCTCACAACTTCTTGTGTCCCTCCAGCCTTCTCACTGGCAGGGTATGAGACATTGAAAAGTCCTTGGCATAGTCTAAGCACTGGTCAGCAACACCTAAACCATCAGTGTGTTACCAACATTATTCTCATCCAAAATCCCAAACTGTACCATCCTCTTAGGATGAAAATTAATTGTATCCCAGCCAAAACCAGGACAGATGTTAACTAACGGAAGAATAATCCCTAAATACGGTTTGGAGAAGCCTTTCTGCACAGGCCTCAATTCAGGCACCTAGAAAGTGCCACCTACTGAAAAGTCAACAGATAAAAATTTCATGACAATTATATTTAGTTTTGCTGCACTGAACTGGTATTAGCACTTTTGGGCTCCTATTATACATTAGAAACATGCTTTCCTAAATGCTGTTTGATAGGGAATGGCACTTGAAAATCAGGCCACACCCTATGTTGTGTCACAGAACAACAGGTTGGAACAGGTTTCTAAAGGTCACCTGGTCCAAAGGACTGTCCAAAGCAGGGACAACTTGGACCACACAGCCCACAGCCTTGGTCCAGCCGAGTTCTCAGTGTCTTCAAGGACAGAGATTTTTCAGCCTTCCTGCACTCCTGTTCCTATGTTTGCCTGTCCTCACAGAGAAAATTTTCTTCCCAATACCTAATTTGAATTTCCCTGTTGGAACTTGTGCCATTGCCTCTTGCCCTATAACTGTGCATCTCCTAATATTCCAGTTGTTTCCTCTATACCCCCTAAAAAGTAACTAAATAGTCTGAAGACTAAACAAAACTAGCGTTCTCCACCTCTTAAGTCAAAAGTTCTTAGTCTCCTAATTATCTTGGTGGCCACCAGCTAAACTTTTTAACAAAACAGCACCACATAGGCACAGACTTCAGTTCAGAAGTGAGCCTCCAGGGTGACAGATGTAAGGAAACTTTTAAAATTATCCCTGTGCTGTAGAAAAATACTTCAGTTTCTACTGAGGATTTTTCCAGCCTAAAGCACAACAAGAAACACATTTCTCATTGAGTTAAGACTAAATTTAACAATGGCTACAATTACGCTCAAAATTACACTGTATAGTTCACCCCAGTTAATGATTGGTTTGCTGAAGTAACAAAATTTCTAGGTGTAAAACAGCCACAACTTCCTTGGTAGGGAAGGAGCTGCTGGGACAGTATATACACCCCACTATTTGGAGAGTTATGGTCAGACAATCCAAATATGAGGACTGATGCATCCCCTTAACAAGTTACATCAGCACGGCTCCTAAAATCATAAACAGAGAATTTTGCAAATATTCTTGTACAAAATAAATCTTAGCTGCACTGCCTGCCCTATCTTAGGACACAGAGACTATTTTAATACTCACAAATTAAAAAAGTTAGGCACCATCCTCAAGCTCTGGCCAGGCCAACTGGCACAGTACAGTTTGCTTCCATGCAGTGGAAATCTCCTATCCCTTATAAAGAAAGTGGCACATTCAAACTGCTGGTGATGGACACTCCTTTGAAGCTGGGCTGAACCTGACGTGCAACAAAATCATTGTAGAACTAAGAGACAGACTAGGAGACTAATCACATAAACCCCATTTCCTGACAAAAATGGTTTATATTTCAAATGTAAGGAATAAAAGATGCTGTAGTCAAAATGGGGGAGAGTTCAGAAATTAGACTCTGATGGATGTAGGCCCCTTATTCTAACTTTTATACATGCCAATCAAAGCTGAGATTGTTTGGAGTCTGAGGTTTGTAAGTTTATACTCCGAACCTAAAGTCAGTCCGTACTATGTCAGCACTCCAGGAAACCAACATTCCTCAAACCCCAGAGAGACTGCATGTGGTTTTGGAGCAACACTTCACTCTGGTCACTCCAAGAACTCTTTCACTTACTGACCAGGCAGCAGCAACTTCAGCAATAAACATGAATTTACATCATGGGCTAAAGCCCCTGTGCCTGTCTAATTATACTCAACTTAGTAAAACTCTTGTTCTCATACCATGCTAGTGGACATAGCATAGAATATTTTTTTTCACGCAGGGAAAATTCAGAATTCTTTTGATCCAAGCTCGCAGCAAGAGAGAACAGTCTGTACTGCTTCTGTCAGGATTTTCAAATGGCTTGAGTTTTATTCTTTGCCAGCTCTAAATAATGCATCTATTATAAAATTAAAATTATAATTTTTAATGTAAATTTAACTAGCATCATCTGCCAGGAGGCTTAGAAAATTTCCAACTCTTTTGATTGCTAAAGATAGCAGTCATTTTTTAGAATTTATCATCATGTGGAAAAATAAGTCAAAAATAAATAGCTAAGTATCTCCCTTATTACTTAACTGATTTATTCACTTAGAAAAGATTGACCTAGCAAAGTTAATTCTTTAAAGTCTTGCTCTGCTACATGCCACAGTAAGATCAAATGCATTGCCATCTCGATAATCCACTTCTTTCATACAGGTACACTAGACTGTCCTAATTTCACTGGAAAAGTCAGTAATTGTGCTCTTTGTGGTGCAATTTTGATTGTTTGGGGGTTTTTTACAGCTCAACTCTTGCCCATACCTTTTCATCTTTCTTTACTTTCTTTTCATAAAATAAAATACTTAAAGTCATAGGAACTAAAGGCCTTTTTTCCCTTTGCAATACCCACTGTCTCCTCAGGTGCCACAACATAATGAATAAGAGATTAGATATCCACACACATACAAATTACTAAGGCATACAAGTGCTATTCAACATGTTCTAATGTCAGACACTTGCTTTAGGTAGCATGCTGCAAGGGTAACTAAAAACTGGAGCACACTTCCTCTGGAAAGATAGGGAATTTCCAACGCAGAAAATTTTGAGAAGGACAAACATCTGCTAGGACTGGTTTAAGAGCAGGCAACTGTAATCTTTGGGAAAGATGTTGCTGTTCCTGTGACCAAAACAGTAAACCAAACCATAT